CCCCACTTGTGCACGATCTCTCTCTCAAAAATAAACAAATGTAAAAAAAATTTTTAATTTAAAAATTTTATCTTTATTATTATCATTATCGTTATTATTATTAATATTTTTGGGGTGGGGAGAGAGAATGGGTGCATGTGAGTGGGGAAGGGGCAGAGAGAGAGGGGGAAGAGAGTATCTTAAGCAGGCTCCAAGCTTAGCATGGAGCCTGACACAGGGCTCAATGCCACAACCCTGGTATCATGACCTGAGTGGAAATCAAGATTCTGATGCTCAGCTGCTCAACCGACTGAGCCACCTAGGCGGCCCAGCATGGTGCTTTTGAGATTCATTTTTGTTGTTGCACATATCAGTTGTTTGTTCCTGTTTGTTGATAGTACACCACTAACATTTGACAGACGTGACTTTTTTCCATTCGGGGTTATTAATAAGGAGTGCTAAAATATCTATCATGTGGGTTCGTCTTACTTCTCTTTTTGGTTCTATTTTATATATATTTTGAAGTTCTTTTATTAGGTGCAGACACATTTCAGATTGTCTTCTTGATGAATTAATTCCTTTATCATTATGAATTGTTCCTTTTTCCTTGGTAGTATTTCTTCTTTTGAAGACTATTTTTTTTGTTTCTGGTTTTGTTTTGTTTTTAATGTTTATTTATTTATTTTGAGACAGAGAGAGAGAGAGAGCGCGAGAGTGTGCGCTCATGAGCCAGGGAGGGACAGAGAGGGAGAGAGAAAATCGCAAGCAGGATCCACACTGTCAGTACAGAGCCTGATAGGGGCTCAAACCCATGAACCTTGGGATCATGACCTAAGTTGAAATCAAGAGTCAGATGCTCAACTGACTGAGCCACCCAGGCGCCCCTATTTCTTTGTTTTGAATCAATATACTAATCCAACCAATTTTGATTAGTATTGTCATGGTGTGTCTTTTTAGTTTTTATAGCCAGTTTGTTTCTTTATATTAAAACCGATTTCTTGTAGGCACCAATCCAATCTGACAACCTATCTGTTAATTGAAAAATGTAGACCATTTACGTTTAATATAACTATTAGCATGGTCAGGGTTAATTCTCTACCATTTTGCTGTTTTTTTCTCTTTATCCTTTCTGTTCTTTATGCCATTCTTCTTTTTTTCCTGCCTTGTTTGAAATTACTTTTTAGTATTTCATATTATCTTCACTAATTAATGGCTTACTGGCAACACTTGTTTGTTTTAGTTATTTTTAATGGTTGCTGTAGGACAAGAGTTGCCAGTGTGTGATTTGCAGACCTGTAGTTTTATCCATGACCTTTTTTGTGGGGTCTTCAAGTTCACAACTATTTTCATAATAATATGGAAATATCAGTTACCTTTTTTTATAGTGTTGACATTTGCACTGATGATACAGAGGCAATGGTGTGTAAAACTTCTGGCACCAAAGCACTAGCAGTCATTGTATTCTTCATTGTGTTGAACACACGTTTAAATATTCTGAGTTTTAAAATTGGAAGTATGCATTAAACAATTCTGCTGTGTATTCTGAAGTTTATTCAGGCTGTTGGGAACATGGACTATTTCCAGCTCAGTGAGAGCTCTGGGAATTTTTGGGGATACTGCTTTTTCATGTTTTTTCCCCTAGTGTGGTAGAGTTTTACCCAGTGTGTGCACATATCATTATTTAGTCAAATAATCGATTGAACCTCACTGTACATCTCTGAGCTTTCTGTAGAATTCATTCTTCTCTGATGTTCAGCCCTGCGTATTGTTGTCTTTCCCTCTGCTCCCAACCTCTGATCTCTGTCTCCTTCACTCAGTGAGACCTCTGGATGCTGTTTGGGTTTCCTCTTCTGGAAGCTGCTTCGAGGCTGTTCCCCGGAGTAATCAAAAGGCTAGACTCCATTGTTTATCTTCTCTTGGGGATTGCAGTCCTGTGTATCTGTTGTCCAGTTTCTGAAAACCCTTGTTTTTCCAGGGTGGTTGTACTTTCCAGTGGGAGGGCCGTTCCTGTAGCACATAAGCCTTCATGTTAATATTTCAGTGTTTGAATAGCATTATGCCAGCTAGAAACAGTTATTCTGATGATATTTGCCAAGTTATATATAAATATTCTGTGCTGTGAAAGAAAAGTTATATAGACTATGGGATTTTGCAGGGAGGAGGAGAGGACTAGAAGTCTCCTTTTCTACTGTTTTCCCTTTGGTTCCGTGTTGTGGTCTTAGGAATCTTTGTTCCCAATTCAAATTAAAATCTTTTTATCTTTTTAGATTAGGGCTCCTCTTTTTCCTTTCTAGCTCATGTTTTGAAACTATTAAAAAATGTTAGTGGTTTTAAGACAGTCTTAGTTATTATATTTAACTCTTGTAAGTTCTTTATTGATTGCCATGGTAAATGGAGATGTTATCCATGAGATATAAGGGAATCTAACTCAGGTAGTAGGATGCAAATAAATTGCCAGATCCCACAACCATCTTACACTTTTTATCCATTAATACTAACTGAACCTGTTAGGTGAAAAATAAACAAGCAAAGGGGCGTCCGGGTGGCTCGTCAGTTGAGCCTCCAACTTCGGCTCAGGTCACGATCTCACGTTTCACGGGTTTGAGCCCCTTGTTGGGCTCTGTGCTGACAGCTCAGAGACTGGAGCCTGCTTCGGATTCTGTGTCTCCCTCTGTCTCTGCCCCTCCCCTGCTTGTGCTCTGTCTCTCTCTCAAAAATAAATAAAAACATAAAAAAAGAGAAAAAATAGAGAAGCAAAGACACTTAAAAAAATCTGATTTTGTAGTTGAGGAATTACGTGTACTGGCTATGCTAAAAGCATAAAAGAACACCTAAAAGAGCAAGTTCAGCTTAGCGGGAGAGGCAGGTGTAGTATAGCTGCAGTTTGTTGAATAGTATTACTCTTTTTGTTTTATTTAAAAAAAATTTTTTTTTAACGTTTATTTATATTTGAGACAGAGCATGAACGGGGGAGGGGCAGAGAGAGAGGGAGACACAGAATCCGAAACAGGCTCCAGGCTCTGAGCTGTCGGCACAGAGCCTGACGTGGGGCTCGAACTCACGGACCGTGAGATCATGACCTGAGTCGAAGTCGGCCGCTTAACCGACTGAGCCACCCAGGCGCCCCTCTTTTTGTTTTATTAAGAGAGTAGAGGAGAAATCACACATTGTTGCTCTGGTCTTGTCAGAGACCTTGCAAATGAGAGCTTAATGAAACCTATCTTCTGTAAGGTGAGGGTAGGGTAGCATTAGTGTGAAACAGCAAAATAAAGCTTCTACAGAAGCGTGTTTCTGTTTGCTCACTTCAGGGGTTTCAGAGGCTCTATGGAGGTTTTTGTGTTGTTGGGTATAAAGAAGGGTTTTGTTTGTTTTGAGTCTTTCGTCTGTCTCAATTAGTTATAAATATATAGGATATCTTTAATTGCTTATTTTTGAAAAGAAATCTGAGAATTGCTAATGATAACTTTAATTGCACTCTACTGAGTTTGTTTTCCTGTTCGTGTATATTATGATTTTGTATTCATTCATTGAATTCACAGGCGATGGAGAGGTGATTGAACAAATTATAAGCCTCCAAACCAATGATAATGGTGAACGCAGCCCCGAGTCCAGTGTTCTTGATGGGATGATAAGACAGTTACAGCAGCAGCAGGATCAGAGACTGGGAGCAGATCACGATACCGTTCCAAGTGGACTTCCCAGTGGGGAAGAAACACCCCGAAGAGGTAGGATAGATGAGAGCTATTGCGTCTTAACATGACTGAAATCTAAGAGGAAATGAAGTCATTGTCCGGTACATGCAGTGAAAAATTTTCAGCAGTGTGCTTTTACAGCTTAGGTAGCAGTAGCCTGGAGGGAACTTCACTAGGCTTTTGTAAAGTTGATGTGCCAGCAAATGGACATTGAATTTTCCAGTACTTGGAAGTTTATTGAAACTTTTTTTTTTTTTTGCTCCTAAATAAGAGTATTTACAAAATTATATTAAATGAGTAAGGAACAAAGTATTTTTTTTTTAAAGGGAAAACTACAGTTGTAGGTTTCCCTTTAAATACTTTTAATTAACAGGGTGCCTGGGTGGCTCAGTCGGTGAAGCGTCCGACTTCGACCCAGGTCATGATCCTACACTTCGTGGGTTGGAGCCCCACATCAGGCTCTGTGCTGACAGCTCGGAGCCCGGAGCCTGCTTCGGATTCTGGGTCTCCCCTCTCTCTGCCCCTCCCCTGCTTACACTGTGTCTCTCTGTCTCCCAAAAATAAATATTTAGAAAATTAATACTTTTAATTAAAAAAAGATTAGTTGGGTAGAGCACTAAATGTTTCTTCTGGAATCGGAAGGCTTGAAATGAATTTGTAGGGCGAAGTTCTTGAGACTGGCATATGATAGTAATATAGTTCCTCAGTGGGGGAACTCCTCTCGAGGAGCAGGCAGTTGTTCAGCAAATGGAAACTCCTTCTGGGGAAGATAAATGCCTGTGGAACGTTAGAGAAGCCTTGAGTACCACAAAAATCATCCCTGCCGTGTCACACCTGCATGGGTTACTTGGCCACAAATTTCAGTATCATTTTTGCCAAATGTTTCTTCCTGTCTACGTAAAAGAAAAATTCTCCCAACAGGCAGGTTAAATATTTTAGGCAGGAATACCGCACAGTTGATGCATATGCGTTCTTCTCAGCTTTGCTTTTTCCCCTCGATGATATATTCTAGAAATCACTCCAGATCCACTCATAGCGCTTCCTCATCCATTTTCGTAGCATCATGGTACTCCACGGTGCGGAATAACAGTCTTTGTAATGAATCTGTTTATGACCACTTGAGTTAGTTCTCATGTGATGATATGAGACCCTGTGCACATGTTTTCTTCACAGTGTTGGAGAATAATAGTATTACTCGAGCATTCAGATTTAGAATTTATTGTTGGTTCTGAATTCAAAACATGTTTCTTAAATGGCAGTTTGTTTTAATGTAAATGTTTGAATTTACACGATCACTCTGCCTTTTAGGCAGAGTATGGTGTGTCGTGCAATGCAAATTGGTTCACATTTGATTGGTAAACAGAATGCTGTAGCTAGAAGAAGGCAGGGGTGTGTTTAGCCACGTGGATTTTGCCCTGGGCAAGGAGAGCTGGCAGAGGTGAAGAAGAATGTTATAGCCTCCTGCAGGCAAGGATACAGCCCCCAGTTTCTCTGTTGCATTAATAGCAGAAGTCCCTTCCTCCAGTGTTTTAAGAAAACAAGCACTTTACCTGGGACACCTGCCACCACGCTGGTCTCCGTCCTCCATCCAGCTGACTTCCAGCTTGTGAGAGGTTGCCCTGTCTCCTGTGGCCCACCTAATCAGCTCTGCACAGGCTTAGGGCTCACTAAGCCTTGTTATCTGTGTTGCCTTGTCATCCACTCTCAGCTCTAATTCAGGTGCGGCCAGCATTGCCCTGCTCTGCATTTTGTTGAAGTTTTGATACCCACTCTGGCAGCTAGCCTGCCTGAGTGGCTCAGATTATCTCTTAAAGTCACAGGTAATGTTCGAGCTCTTGTTATAGAGCCACCACAGTTTGAGGAGGCTCTCTGCAATACTAATTTTTCCAAAAAGATGTGTTTTTAGTGTATGGTTCTGAAAAAGGCAAGGAAGGGTTTTACGAATGCAAATATAGCATTATAATAGAAAATATGTATGCATTAAAAAATTCCAGAAAGTCTAGTAATGGAAATTGAAGTGAATAGATGTTTGTTCTGTGTTCTGTATATTGATCTTAGTCTCATTAGGATACTTTCTGACAAAGCGTTTTGGATTTGTAGTTTTGGTTTGTATCTTTATTTTTGGTTTGTGTCTTACTGGGTGGAGTGTATATGCTTATTATGTGTTAAATGCATATTAGATTGAAATTTCTCTCGGAATCCGTTTTGACGTTTCTTTTTTGTAGGTTTTAGAAGACTGAGCTTAGACATCCAGTCCCCTCCAAATATTGGTCTGCGTCGTAGCGGACAAGTGGAAGGTGTTCGTCAGATGCATCAGAATGCTCCACGCAGTCAGATTGCTACTGAGCGTGACCTGCAGGCTTGGAAACGAAGAGTGGTTGTACCAGAGGTACCACTAGGCATATTTAGGTTTGTTTTAGGATATCTCTTAATATTGTTTCTTTTTACAAAAATATATCTATGTGGTTATTTACACCTTTTTTTTTTTTTTAACCCCATTAGTGGTGTAAATAATCACGTAAGTATATTTTAGTAATGGGTTGGAATCTGGTTTACTTGTGGTAGGAAAATGTTGAAATTGTTCTCAAAGTTTTTACTGTGGTTACTTTTTTTGTAAATTGTTTTTCGTATTCCTATTCCATCTTTACAAATACCTGCTTTTGTCCCTTTATTGTTATTTTGAAATAAATCCCAGGTATATAATTTTGTTTAAAAATATGCCTAAAAGATATATATATCTCTCTCTCTAAAAGATCAGGGATTGTTTTCAGTTATTACCACAGTGCTATTGTCATACCTTAGAAAAATAATTCCTCAGTAGAACCAAATGTCCAGTGTTTAAATTTCCAATTGTCTCATGTCATAAATGTTTTTAGTTTTTTGCAAGACTATTTCTTAAAGTGGCATAATTTTGTCAAAAGGCACATAATAAGTATTCTCTTTTTGTGACACTGGCAGGCATGGGAACTCACTGGTTAGGTTCATTAATTCATTAGGGGTCATAAAACTGATCACTCAACTCTTTGAAGTCTTCATTTGTTACAGTGGGTACTTCTAAAAGAGAAATTTACCCGGATGTGCTGTTTGATTATCTAATAGTAAAGTTCATATAGAAAAGACAAGATAGATGTTTATTTTGCTTTATTTACCTTCAAGACGAAGATTTACTCCCTTTCATCCTCCAGCGTTGACCAATTTGTCTTTTGGGTTTTCGCTGTATAAATCACACTGCTGCGATTTAGTTTATTTCTAATATCTTTATCGATTTTTAAGTTTTTCCACCTCTAGCCAGGAGGAGCCTCTTCAAGTTGGCTCTTTAGTCCTTTTGAAACGACTGTAGTATCTTTCTGTAACATCCCTGCTATCAGACATGGCAAGGTGTTGAAGTTCATCTTGTGAATTTCTCGTCTTGCATGTAGAGTCATTCTTTTCTCTTAAGTAGCCCTGTTTTCTTTTAGTGGGAAGTATTTCGTAATTATAATCTGGGCAGTAGGGTCTTCCTTGCTACTGAGTATAACCTAACTGATTTTTGAGTTAATGCAATGGACATAGCAAATACTGCTTTTCAGTGATAACTGAAATGTTCAGTATTCCGTTATCTTATATCTCCTAGTAACTAATGCCTTGAAGATGGTTTTGTAAAAGTGCGTCCTTCATGTGTTTAGGCCAAAGAGTTTCGGTGATTGGTGGAGGAATGTAGTACTTACATACTGTATGGTGAATTTAAGAATGTTTATAAATACACCATAAAATAATGGAAAGCAAAATCTGGTATTGGGATGAGAAATACAGAAAATCACCATCATGTATGTACTATGCTATCATTAATCCTTAAAATTGTGTCTGAGTTGCATGGTCATCAGAACCAAAAGTGTTACTTTGGGATACTTTTTGTTGCCAGAACCAAGGGAAGCAAACCAGTATCAAGAGTGAAAGACCTGAAGAATAGTTCTTTCTCCTTTTTTTTTTTTTTTTAAATATTTATTTATTTTGAGAGAGTGAGAAAGAGAGAAGCAGAGAGAGTGGGAGACTGAGAATCCCAAGCAGATTCTGTGCTATCAGCACAGTTCCTGGTGTGGGACTTGAACTCACGAACTGTGAGATCAGGACCTGAGCCGAAACCAGGAGTCAGATGCTTAACTGACTGAACCACCCAGGCGCCCCGACAATAATTCCTCTATTATTTATTCTCTTCAGATGAAACACTGGAAACAGTTATGTCCAAGATAGCTGGTCTTTATTATGGTAGCCATCATGTCTGCCTTTGTGGTAGAGAGCGTGGTTTAGGTCAGAAGAAGGGAGAGACTGAGGCAAAAAGGACATTTGTTGAGTAAACTTGATTTAAGCAGCTGTCATGGTTGCACATGAGATCTTCTGCTCTTAATTCATTGACCAGAATGTTGTCATCGTATGGCTGTACTTAGCTACAGAGGAGGCTAGGTGATGGTTTCTATTTAGGGCAGCAAAGAGCCTAGATAAAAACAGATCTGTTTCAAAGGAAGAAAAGGAGAATGCAGTTTTTGCACCAACTAGCTGTCTGCTATAATAAAAATTTCCTGAAGAAGAGCGTAGCTCCTCATAGTGCTGTATTCTAAAATACACGTGAGATTTTACAATGGGGCGCTAAGCGATCTAGCAACGGTCGGTGCTCTTGATGACAGTCCTTATGAGTGGAAGCAATGGGAATTTTACGTAACTTGTAATTAATTAATTAGAGTGGCACTTGATGAAGATGGAGAAAATTAAAATTTTGTTTCCCAGCTATAAAAGTAGTTATGTGTCCCTTGTGAAAAATTTAGGTGATAGATGAAAGTGTGAGAAAATCAATGATCCTCCCGTGCAGAACCATGAGCACACAGTCCTGCTTCCTAGTAGACGCAGTTCCGGTTGGGGCTAGATCTCAGACATGTAGTTTGTCTTAATTCAGGAATAGTGGAGACTCTGTCTGTTGTATTCATTCTAATTCTGTTCATCCTATGATCTTTCTAATACCGCTTTTCTTAACTGACGTCTCATTTAGGTGTGGGATTGCAGTTGCACACCGTTGAAGATGATACTGTACTCACGAAGGCCTAGCATGTTCCTAGCATGTTCTCAGCCATGTTAGTGATTGAGAATGAAGTGTATGTGGTGGTTCGTTTTCAAAACAAAGGGAAGCGTACAGCTATGGGGTAGGAATTCCATAGTTCCTTAAATATATGTACAGTTGGTGAAACTGAGAACGTGTGAAGGGCTGAGTCTGATTTAGAGCTGCCCTGTGGATGCAGCATTGTTCTGTTGGCATCTGAGTGTGAGCCAGAGGTGGATCCTGAGAAAAAAGCAATTTCTGTAGAATCAAGTTCTTACTTACCGGCATTTGCGTGCAGACTCATTTGAGCGTCTAGTTGTGTCTCGGGCCGTGGCCCATATGTCTGTTTTGAAACTGGCCCAAGAGGGGTTTTAAAGTGAACATAAAACACAAAGCCATATGTTTTCAGCAGCATTCAAGTTGGAGAAAAGGGACATTCAGTCACCTGGATTCTCTCACCACGGAGGAGGAAACTGAACTTCGTTCAGTACATTCCTCATGGTGGAAGGTCCTCTGCTTTGAGATCGGTCACAGGAACATAATCTTTGTTTTGTATCATGTGAGTGAAATATAGGTGATTAGAAGAAGTAGTAACACTGCCATTCTGGTTTTCTACCAATTACAAAACATGCAGTTTGAATAAGTTGGGAGGAGGATTCTGTTTTTATTGTTTCTTTAGAGAAAAGGATTGTAGTCTTGCCCAATTTACAGGGAGATTGGGTAGCTAATGTGAAAGATTCTATTTGAGTTGGTTGTATTGGGGTCTGTGAAAATATAAACATCTCTGTATTAAGTGCGAAAAATAAGACCTCCTAACTGCCTCTGAGATTATATTGTTTTTTTTTTTTTAATTTTTTTTAAAATATTTATTTATTTTTGAGAGAGAGAGAGAGAGACAGAGCATGAGCAGGAGAGAAGCAGAGAGAGGGAGACACAGAATCCAAAACAGACTCCAAGCTGTCAGCACAGAGCCCGATGCGGGGCTCGAACCCACGAACTGTGAGATCATGACCTGAGCTCAAGTCGGATGCCCAACTGACTGAGCCACCCAGGCGCCCCATATTACGTTTCTAACATAAAGTATAGCTTGACTTGTTTTATTAGAACTTTAGGGATTTTTTGTATTAGTTTAAAAAGCATATAAGCTTATGGTGCCCCAAATCGTAATGATTAGTTTTTCCTCTTTATACCCTTTACTTATCCATCAGTTCATTAACCAGTATAACTGGATACTTACATTTGTAGGAAATTGGAAGACTTCAGAATAGAGAAGGGTGAAGAGGAAAGAAATCTTTATATAATAGGAAGAAAAAGGAAGACTCTCCAGCTCACACAGAAGGTAACCGAAATTCTGTTTTCTGAGGAATAAGCAAATTGGAAATTAAACTGAATTTATACTTTTATTTTTTTGATCCTTGAGAATATTAGTACCTTTTGCCTGAAGTAGACTATTTCTTGCTCAAGGTCTTCTGTTTGGGATTGAAAATAAGGGGCATAAAGTTGTACAGCTGTTGGGAAAGAGTAGTCTGAAACTTGAGAGGAGTAAGTAGCCCAATGGCTGGCTACCAGTGGTAAAGGATTCCAGAAAATTCCTGTGTGGTGACCACTCAGGTCAAGAATTGGAATGTTCTGGGCTTATCTCAAGCATGGCAGGTCCATCCCTACTCACTGCATCCACAGCTAGCCTGTCGTTTGACTTCTAAAACTGCTGGTTAGCTTTGTCTGTTTCTGCAGTTTATCCTGATGATGCAGTTCCAAAAAATCTGTAAAAAAAACTTAGACCCTCCAAAACTTCATCCTGCTGAAGAAAATCTTTGTCCATAATATTTAGTTTCTCTATTTGGATTTTCATGCACATCACATGAGCAGTGTTAACACTGATGCACGGAAGGTGCACAAAATGTATGCAAGATCAGCGCTGCAAAACTTTGTGGACTTGCTCGCAGTTGACCGTTCAACGTCACGACTGATGGCCTGTGCACGTACTCATGGCTGCCATTATGTGCCTTGTCATTGAAGCTTGATTCTAATTAATTTTTAAAAAGTTTACTTATTTTGAGAGAGAGAGAGAGAAAGAATGAGAGAGAGAGAGAGAGAGAGAGAATGAATTAGTAGTGGTGGAGGGGCAGAGAGAGAGGATCCCAAGCAGGCTCCGTGCTATCAGCACAGAGCCCGATGCAAGGTTCAAACTCACTGAGATCATGACCTGAGCTGAAACCAAGAGTTGGATATTTAAGCGACTGAGCCACCCAGGTGCCTGTTACCTTTTTATTTAATTTAAAAGTGATTCAACTCATCATGTCAGGTACTGAAAAGAAAAAAATGTTGACTATCTAAATGAATATCTTTGGCCTGAGTTAGGATGTTTTCTCATGAAAAATTTTGTAAGTTAAATTTACTAAAATAAGTTATAAGTAACTGATAGATTCTTTGATTGTTTTATTTTTGCTAGAGAAAATAAGTTTTGAAAGATTTTAAAAACTGATTACATTGCTGTTCCTTATGTAGTCACGGTTTTCTAATTTGGATATGTTACTTGATATATTACAATCTATGTAATTAAATTATATTAAAATTATTTAAGAAATGGTTATGAAGTTAAATGTATGAAGTTCTTTAAAATTTTCAATTTTACCTTTAAGTCAAAAATTATGATTATTCTTAATCCGGTATGGAGTAAAAAGGCTAAACTTTATACTTAGTCTTCTTATGTACAAAGCTTGGATATATACACTATGTAAACACTGATGACATATATCTGCAGTATTACATCTTGTGGGGGAGCAAATTAGGAAACTGTTCCAAGTTTCCTGTACGGTAATGATAATGCAAAAACATCGAGAAACACTGATCTAAGTGGAATCCTACATTCTGCATTCTTTTGTATCTGGCTTAATCATTTGACCTTGTGAGATTTATCCGTGTTGTTGTGAGTAGTTGAAGTTCATTTATTTTCATTGTTTGTTGTGTAGTATTCCCTTGATGAACATACTGCCATTTATTCAGTCTGTTCTTGAAAGACATTTGGATTGTTTTCATATTTTGACTATTAGTAATAATTCTGCTGTCAGCATTTTGTACGTATCTCTTGGTATCTCTTTGTATATTTTAATCTATGCCTTGGAGTGAAATTTTTAGATATGGAATATGTGTATATTCCACTTAGTTAATGCCACATGCCATTTCAAACTGATTGCACTCCCTACCTATAGTGAGATATGTTAAAATCTCATTATCTTTACAAATTTCTCTGTTTCGACTTGTTTTTCTTAATATGGTTTGCAGCTATATTATTTGGTATGTGCACATGTAGAATTTCATTTTTCCTTGTTGAATTGAACCTTTTCTCAGTATGAATTTTCACCCCTTATTTCTTGTAATGTTTTACTCTCCAAACTCTTTTTTTTTAAATTTTTTTTTTTCAACGTTTTTTATTTATTTTTGGGACAGAGAGAGACAGAGCATGAACGGGGGAGGGGCAGAGAGAGAGGGAGACACAGAATCGGAAACAGGCTCCAGGCTCTGAGCCATCAGCCCAGAGCCCGACGCGGGGCTCGAACTCACAGACCGCGAGATCGTGACCTGGCTGAAGTCAGACGCTTAACCGACTGCGCCACCCAGGCGCCCCTCCAAACTCTTTTTTAATGTTTATTTATTTTGAGAGAGAGAGAGAGAGAGAGAGAGAGAGAGTGAGTGAGAGGTGCAAGCATCACTCGCACAAGCTGAGGAGGGGCAGAGAGAGAGGATCCCAAACAGGCTCCACACTGTCAGTGCAGAGCCCGATGCATGGCTTGATCCCATGAACCATGAGATCATGCCCTGAGTCAAAGTCAAGAGTTGTATGCTTAACAGCCTGAGCTGCCCAGATGCCCCTTCTCCAAATTCTTTATACAGCTATGCTAGCTTTCCTTTGGCTAGTGTTTGCATTGAATGTGTTTCCTTCTTCCTCCTGATACTGCAGTTACATGTATGTTAGACTTTTGCTATTGATTTCTTTTTGTTAGGTTGTTAGCTGTTATTCTGATTTTTTTTTCTCCTGACCTATATTGCAGTTCATTAGTTCTTTTAGCCATGTGTAATCTGCTGTTAAACCTAGTTTTGTTACTGTATTTTTCAGTTCATAATTTTTACTTGGTCCTTTTTTTGGGGCTTTCAGTTTTCTGGTGAAGTTCTCATTAACTTCTTGAAAATCAGCCATGGTTATTTTTTAAAAATCCATGTCTGCTGATTTCATTATTTCAGTATCTTGTTCCCCTGTTTCCATTGCTTGTTGATTTTTTTTTTTTTTGTTTACATTCTTTGTTGCCTATGGTTTTGATTGAATGTTAAAGCTAGAGATAATTTGAAGCTTGGGATGATACTTCTTCCCCCAGAGAGGATTTACATCTGCTTATGGTGAGCTGCTAAGGCCACTGTCAAGCCTGTATTGCCTTAATCGCAACAAGGATGGGGCTATAATTATTTTGGATTACTGTTTATCTGCAATTTACTGATCAGTCTAGGCAGTACCCTTTGATCTAAGAGCCAAAGCCTGCAGTGTTCTACACATAGAAGGCTCTAAATTGCAATTTTTTGTTAGCCTAACTCATGAGTTTAGTCTCTTGGGTTTTTGCTTACCTGCTGAACCCTTCAGCTCCCTCTTCTGGAGTGAAATTGTAGGGTTATCTTTTACTGTTTACACTCTTTTTCTATCTTGGTCCTATAATTCTTTATAGGCTCGTTTAGGTATATAATGCCCTCAAACTTATTTTAAAAAATGGATATTTTGCAAGAGTTTCTTAATGGTAGGTTTGGCCCACCTATGTTTAAAAATTTCCGTCGTGAGGGGCGCCTGGGTGGCGCAGTCGGTTAAGCGGCCGACTTCAGCCAGGTCACGATCTCGCGCTCCGTGAGTTCGAGCCCCACGTCGGGCTCTGGGCTGATGGCTCAGAGCCTGGAGCCTGTTTCTGATTCTGTGTCTCCCTCTCTCTCTGACCCTCCCCTGTTCATGCTCTGTCTCTCTCTGTCCCAAAAATAAATAAACGTTGAAAAAAAAAATTTTAATAAAAAAAAAAAAATTTCCGTCATGAAACTCACTAATAGGTGTTTTTTTCTTTAACGAAAATCAATATGGACAAATTAAGGAAAGCACAGTTCATTTGAAAATCGGCCAGAGGCATAATGAAATGATAAAACACACCACTGATTATCTAACCGAAGGTACTAATGTGAAAATTAACTTGTGTATCAGTTCAAGGAATATATGCTTTCACACACGACTGAGTCTGAGCAATAGCATGCTCCCTCCGCCCTTTAGAAGAAGTGTCGTCTGTTTTATTTGGATGATTTTTAAGGATTATTTAAATATGTATTTTGTTTTGATAAAATATGGTATTTTAAAAATTCACACAGAGCTGAAAAGTACTGACAACAACAAATCCTCCAAAAATTAAAATCTGGAAATAAGTTGGGTTAATTTTTGAGGATTATTTCAGATCTTTCTCTCTGTGTAAACAACAGGGATATGTTCATTAGTGTTGGTGACAGCATCATGATACATGAATATATACTTTTCACTTCGAAGATACATATCTTATTTCTATTAAAGTTTGTTTTGAGAGAGAGAGAGAGGGAGAAATAGCACGAGTGGGGGAGAAGCAGAGAGAGGGAGACAGAGAATCCCAAGTGGCCTCCATGCTGTCAGTGCGGAGCCCGATGTGGGGCATGAACCCACGAAACGGAGGTCATGACCTGAGCCAAAACCAAGAGTTGGACGCTTAACCGACTGAGCCACACAGGGCCCCTAAATTAGATATTTTAAAGTGGTATCTTGGGTTATTGTTGTTATGATCTTATTAATGGCAAAATAGTTAACTTATAATTTAGTTTGGAAAATGCCGATCTAACGTGCCTCATTTAGCCACGTCTTCTAAGTACCTTAAAAGTAAAACCACCAAGTTTAATTTAACTACATCCATATTTGTATATTTTTGAGCTATTATTCTTCGTTATTTTTGCCTTAAATCCTTTTTGGAATGTGAAAGAACATGTGTCTTGCGGGCGATGGCACTTACTGGATGCTGGTTCCACGTGCGCGTTTCTGTTTCAGTGTGAGTCGCTGGTGCTGCTGTCCCAGTCCCGGCAGAGGACGTGCAGGCGCAGGCGCCTGAATTACAGTCGAAGAAATCTTGGGCGGCTTGAGCTGTCTTCTGGAAATGAATCTTCGAGCTCTGGAAGACACGTGAGTTTTCTAACTTTAAAATGTATAAAATGGTGGTTAATAATTTGTCTTCAGTCTCTTCCTTTGAATCTACCAAGGGACTAGGATGAATCGGGAACGGCTCTGTTGAGATACTTGAACCGTACAAGCGTGTGACCCAGAGGTTCTAATATGTTAACGGGATTGTCCCGTCATCACCACTTTTTAATTTCAAAATCCTCATGGACTCTCAAACGAAATCCTATACTCATTTGCAGTTACTCCCCAGCCCACCTCTCTCAGCTCCTGACAATCACTAATCTTTCTGTCTCTGTGGAATGATTGACCTGTTCTGTGCGTTGTATATAAATGGAACCCTACAGTATGATGGTGGGAGGACGGGCTTTTTGCAGTTGGCATAATGTTTCCAAGGCTGGTCCACCTGTAGCATGCATCCATACTTCGTTTTGGCTATTACGAATAATGCACCTTACTAACATACAGGTTTTTGTTTGAACACAAGCTTTTGTTTCATTTGGATGTATATCTACAAGTCAGTTTGCTGGGTCATGTGGTGACTCTGTGTTTAACCTTTTGAGGAATTGCTGGAGTGTTTTCCAAAGCAGCTGCATTGTTTTATATTCCCATCGGTAATGGAGGAGGATTCCAGTTTCACCACATCCTTGGTAGCATTTGGCATTGTCTACATGTACTTTTGATTTTAGCTGTCCTGGTGGGTGTGAAGGGGTAGCTCATTGCTTTTGATACATTTCCCTAATGATTCATGATAATGGAGCATGTTTTCATGTGCTTATTTCCTGTCTATCTTTGGAGAAATGTCTGTGCCAATCTGTTGTCCATTTATCACTTTTGTTGTCTTTTTTTATTGCTGTGAAAGTTCTTTTTTCTGGATGTGAGTCTGTTGTCAGCCATAGGACTTGCATTTATTTTCTCTCATTTGAGGGACTGGCTTTTCACTTCTTCAATGGTTTCCTTTGAAGGAAAGTTCTACATTTTGATGAAGTCCAGTTGATTTGTTTTTACTTTGTTGCTTGTGCTGCTGTCCAATCTAAGCCTCTCTCTAACCCCTTCTCGATTATCACATGGAATTACTGGTCTTCCTTTGATTTTCTTTTTTTAAGAACCCAATGTTTTTGTAAAGAGTGTTGAAAATTTAATAATAGAATGTTAACATTTTTTAATCACTATTGTTTGAAGGTTTGAAATGTTCTGTATTGATGAACAATTGATTTAATTCTTCTGTAAAGCACTGAGGTAATAGTTGAGCAGAGGGTTTGAGGTTAAATCTAAATTCTTCCACTTGGACAAGTTGTTTAACCTTTCTGGGTCTCTGGCCAGATCTGTAAAAGCAGTCAGTGGTAGCGTGTATTCCTCAGAGATGTAAGAACTCGATTGATTGTAAAGTGTTTAAGATAGTGTCTAATATCCAATAATGCTAGCTGCTGTTATCAGCCTGTTAAAGTAACTAATTGTGTTTTATGTAAGGAGACTTTTTTACATTATTTTCTTCTTTTTATTTTTTAAAAAAAAAATTTTTTTTTTTCAACGTTTATTTATTTTTGGGACAGAGAGAGACAGAGCATGAACGGGGGAGGGGCAGAGAGAGAGGGAGACACAGAATCGGAAACAGGCTCCAGGCTCCGAGCCATCAGCCCAGAGCCCGACGCGGGGCTCGAACTCACGGACCGCGAGATCGTGACCTGGCTGAAGTCGGACGCTTAACCGACTGCACCACCCAGGCGCCCCTATTTTCTTCTTTTTACAGTGAATTGAATGTTTTAACCCTTTCTTAATAGTTTTGGATAATTATGGTAAACGTTCCCACCCATCTTCCCTAGTTTCTGGTTTATGCTTCCTGTGTTTTTCTTCATACATTCAATCAGATATGTGTACATTTTATAGTTTCTCCTTTTGTACACAAAATATAGCATACTATAGATGCTCTTGGCACTTTTCACTCCGTGGCTTTTTTCACTTAAAATTTTCTTTCTTTTTTAATATTTTAGTGTAATTTATTATAATCAGCTAGCAGTCCACTTAAAATGTTAACTAGAAATACCAGTTCTTTGCCCTTTTCATTTAATTATGTGCACCCGATAAATTTAATGAAAGCTTTCCATTTAATAAGTCTTATAATTAAACACATCTATTACATTGATACTAAGTATTCTTTTTTTTCCACTTAAAATATTCTTGAACTCACTCCATGTTCGTTGTGTTTTTTTTGTTTTTTTTTTTTAACGTTTGTTTACTTTTGAGAGAGACAGAGACAGAATGGGAGTGGGTTAGAAGGAGAGGAGAGGAGACACAGAATCTGAAGCAGGCTCCAGGCTCCGAGCTGTCAGCACAGAGCCCGATGCGGGGCTCAAACTCACAGAGCTGTGAGATCATGATCTGAGCTAAAGTCGGACGCTCAACCAGCTGAGCCACCCAGGTGCCCCCATGTTCGTTTTTTTTTTTTTTTTTTTAATTTTTTTTAACGTTTATTTATTTTTGAGACAGAGACAGAGCATGAATAGGGGAGGGGCGAGAGAGAGGAGACACAGAATGAATAGGCTCAGGCTCTGAGCTGTACCTGGCAGCCTGACGAGGCTCGAACTCATGGACCGTGAGATCATGACCTGAGCCGAAATCGGACACTTAACCGACTGAGCCACCCAGGCGGCCCCCCGTGTTCGTTTTTAAATATCTCCTCCATGGTTCGTTCGTTCGTTCGTTCATTCTTTCTCTCTCTCTCTCTCTCTCTCTTTCTTTCTCTCTTTCTTTCTCTCTCTCTTTCTTTCTTTCTTTCTTTCTTTCTTTCTTTCTTTCTTTCTTTCTTTCTTTCTTTCAAGACTTGCATCATACAATTATGGGACTGTAACAGTTTATTTAATCAGTCTCTTACCTATGGCCATTTAGGACGTTTCCAGTGTTTTCGTTATAAACAGTGCCACAATGAGTAATCTTTTTGTCTGTGTATGTAGTTTTTTGCTGATGGAGACATTTGGGAGTACGATCCTGGGAATAGGATCGCAGTGTCTAAAGATACATGCCTCTGAGTTGTAGGAAGTAGTGGTAAAAGTTGCTGCCAAAGGAAGGTTCCAACTTGGCTTTCCTGCTGGTGGTGCCACCAGCAACATGGGTTTTCTTAGCCATTAGCCAATAGAGTGTTTTATACTTGATAATCTTTGCCAGTTTAATGGGTGAGAGATGGTGTCTTAGTGTAGTTTTATTTTTTTATGTTTTGGCTTTTTTTAGTGAGAAAAATTATAAAATTTACTACTTTATTTTCCTGTGTACACTTCAAAAGTGTTACCTCTATCTTAAGTATGTGCAGCCATTACCACTGTACGTTTCTAGCACTCTTTCATCATCCCAGACAGACACTGTACTCATTAAACACTGACTCCCTTTTTCCCTTCTGTACGTCCGTGGTAGCCTCTCTCCTACTTTCTAGCTCTCTGTAAATTTGCCTACTATAGGGACCTCGTGTAAGTGGAATCATACGATATTTGTCCTTTTATCTTTGGTTTATTTCACAGAATAGTTTTATTTTGACTTTCTCATGTGTGAAGTTGTTGAACATCTTTTCATATATTTAGAGTGTCTTTTTTTTTTCATCTTTGTGCACATGTATTTATGTCCTTTGGTCATTTCTCTATCACATTTTTGGTCCCCTCCGTGCCCACCGCAATTTCCAAAGGTTCTTTATATACCAGATATGTTAGTTCTTTATCTGTAGTTTATACGGTGCTGCGTTCTTTTTCTGCCATTAGAGCCTCTAAGTGGTTATTACTTGGTGGAGATGAAGGCTACTGATTTCGGTAGATTGAATTTTTTTACACATCTTGCTGTGTTACCGAACTTTTGAGTTAATTTTATCATTGAATTATCTGAGGGTTTTTTATTTAGGTACCCTCTCCTTTGTACAAGTACTTAGTTGTCCTTTGGGGTGCCTGGGTGGCTCAGTTGGTTAAATGTCTGAATTCGGCTCAGGTCATAATCTCATGGTTCATGAGCTTGAGTCCCGTGCTGACAGCTCAGAGCCTGGAGACCACTTCAGATTCTGTCTCCCTCTCTCTCTGCCCCTTCCCCACTCATGCTCCATATCTCTCTGTCTCTCTCTCAAAAATAAATAAACATTAGAAAAAATTTTTTAAAAAATACTAGTTTTCCTACTAAGGTAATTTTTATACCTCCCATTGCTCTCTCGTATCTAATTGCATTGCTCAGTTCTTTCAGCACAGTGTTGAATGGTGGTGGGGATGGTGGACCGTATTCCTCTTGGTGGAGACATGTCTACCATTTTCACACTAAGTGAGACACCTTAATTTAGGTGTCTATAGTATGCATATCTATGTTATTATGCTAAGAAAATACCAGCTAATGCTTATTTTGTTGTGTTCTTTTTGAAACACCAGGATTGATTATAGATTCTTTTTCCTTTTTTTTTTTATTATAAATTTTTAAAATTTGCATCCAAGTTATTTAACATATAGTGTAATATTGATTTCAGGAGTAGAACCAAGTGATTCATCACTTACGTATAACACCCAGTGCTAAACCCAGCAAGTGCCCTCCTTAATGCCCATCACCCACTTAGCCCATTCCCCCACTAAACCCCTCCAGCAACCCTCAGTTTGTTCTCTTTGTTTGAGTCTCTTATGGTTTGTCTCCTTCCCTGTTTTTATCTTATTTTTGTTTCCCTTCCTTTATGTTTGTCTGTTTTGTATCTTAAGTTCCACATGAGTGAAGTCATATATTTGTCTTTCTTTGTCTAATTTCGCTTAGCATAATATCCTCTAGTTCTATCCACGTAGCTGCAAATGGCAAGATTTCATTCTTTCTGATTGTCGAGTAATACTTCGTTGTATGTGTGTATGTGTATATGTGTCTATATACACACACACACACACATATATACGTATATACTCATATATACACGTATATATACATACGTACATACACACACACACACACACACCCCCCACATCTTCTTTGTCCATTCATCTGTCCATGGACATTGGGGCCCTTTCCAT